CGGGTGTGGCAAGAAGATTTTGTGGCTATGATGGTGAGAGCTATCTGGGTGGCGGCCGCTGTGATGGTAGTGACAATGGCTGCAGTAGTAGGAGCAGCATGAGCAAATGTAGGAGCTACAATGCTTGTTGATTCTTAGTGATGTCTTTGGCTACTCGTTCCTGCACGCGTGTCGCCCTTCCACCAGTCCTGCTACTGAGTACATTTTATAATAGTACTTCCAATAAGTGGGCAAGTTAACAAACATAGCGTACTTGGGGGGGGGTCATGAGCACACTGCATCCCTTACATTTTTCGTGCCTCACAGTGGTCGTGGGCTAGGGCGGCTAGGGCTTACCTGAGGCATGACACGACATGCTTAAATGTAGGAAATCCTACCCCGATCCCCAAACCCCATTCCTAGAGGGCCTAAATCTTCTACGCCAAAGCCCTCAAAGGAACCCTTGTAGTAACCCCTCTCGACCCTTTGTCGCCTTAAGTCCTGCTAGAACGCGAGCTGAGGTCACATGGAGCCGACCAGGGCTATGCCCTCCAGGGAGCACCCGGTACTGCTCTCGAACCAGGATGTTTGGGGTTTAGGATTTAGCGTTTTTTGGGGTTGAAGGTCTAGGGTATCAAGGGGTTTATAGGATCCTGATATTGGGGTTATCAAGGCCGGTACTTTAATCAGGGGTCTCCATATATAGGACCTCTGGAATTTCCGGTTCACAGCTTCAGGGTTTACGCGTGTCAGTTTTGAGGCTTTAGATACAAGCTCTATGACTCTATAGACTCTGTAGAAGTTTAAGGCGTTCTTGTAACGTTTGTTGCTGCGACGTCTTCCTTGTGCCGCGAGGTTCTCCCGAGCTGCGAGCCGTGCATACTGTATACCCCTACTGCGATTTTTTATCAAGACCATATCGCACGTTGCATTCTTGTCCATGTCGTTGCTGCTTCTGCCATGATTTCGATGATGCGGTTCGACCCCTGGTCTGTTATTCAACCTGGCATCTCCTGAACTAGGTTCAAGGGTCCAAGTACCCAATAATGAATCACATACTCTCGAAAATAGCAACCTACATAGCTACTATCCTAAAACCGAGTACCTAATTTTTGGATGCGTAGGACCCTCTGGGTAGTGTAATCGCGTCGAACGCCAGCCCTCATCGGACCTACAGTTATAAAGATCTCGACGAGGAGATCAAAGCACAACTCATGGCTCCGATCTCGCCAGGCTGGGGGGCAAGGGAGCACGGCTTAGTTTCGTTGCTTGTTACAGTTTGTGGGGTTCTGCAATGCTGATACTGTTCCGAGGTTGTTATTTCAATGGCCAGGTTTGGTCGTTGATCGAGCATCTGCAGTTGCGGCCGACATGGCATTTGTCGTCGGACACCCACGTGGAACTCTCAACGAAAGTGGTCTTCCCATCGAACCTTAATCCTACATAATTGAGTCCCAGACTAGCAGGAACGTGGATGAATTGTAGCCAGAACCCACGGTGCAGTACGAAACATATGAAAGAGTAGTAGTAGATGTTCGAGCCATTGAAGGTAATTGGTCCACAAGACAGATATCTGTACCTGCGTCGGGTGGCTTCTGGATGGCAGGTGCAGATCCCTTTGCCCGAAAGCTCTAGGAAATTCGGAGGGTCCATGCGCTCAAACGCATCTTCCCTCGCGCACCTCATCTATTTGCCCTCCCATTGCACGGAGGGCGTGTACAGGTTTGCTGTGAGCAGAGGCAAGCTGGATCAAGCCTTGAGACCACAGGCTTAACACCGCAACTTGACATCCTGTGAATTAACAACATCAAGACATTGTGAGCAGAAGGAGCACCTGCCGTCTTGATTCTGCATACGTCCACAGTTCTTCAAAAGCCAGGGGCTATGTGCAGGGCGACAAATGCCAAGTACACTGCGTCCGACCGTGCTTGCTTCACCGACGGGCTTTCCGACTGCAGCTTGACTGCTTCTTGCAAATGTGCAAGAGTGCTACCGTGATCACAGCGAGAGAAAGTCGTATTGGTTTTCATGGAAGGACATGTCGCACTCAAGTGAGCAGCACGTAGAACGCCAACAAAAGCAGCATGAGCGAGCCCTTGCTGATGCAGAGAATACGAATTCACGCAAGAGCTCCAGTGGACAAAGTTTTCCAGTGCAACGAGCAGAAATGCAAGTCTGTGGATGCTCTAGACTGGGTCCTGCCACCTCCCGATAGGGCAGACACGATGAAGCAATACTCGCGGCGTACTCGCATGATGGTAAGGTGATTTCCGTCATGCGCTCTTTATGTACCTGAACATATGCTACTTCCATGTCGACAAGCTTTGAAGCATCGGATGCTATGACTGAGGGCTCTTTGTTATAACTTTAGCATAAGCTACCCCAAACGTCTACTCAGCACTCTAATGGATTTAGAGCATCTGCTTTGGAGTCGCTTTTGACAGCTCTCGAAAAGAGAAGCTGTAGTCCGAGCGCCATTGAAACAGGGCTTGTAATGCAGGGAGGGGCTTAATTACGAAGAATAGGGTTCCGGGCATAGTCTAGCATGTCTACTATGGTAACTGGACTATCAGATCAAGGAATACTATTATTGCTAGGTAACGTTTTATGGTGTCAGGGAGAGCTTTAAAGAATGTTGCAAAAGATTGTTCGCAGATGTGTGTTACAGATTGTACTACTTATCTATTTGCCTATTTATCAGTATCTTCCCATTGCATGTTGTGCTTACATGCAGTACAGTATATGCACGTGCCAGCCTGTGTATGCTTTTAAATGTATGAAGGGTTACATATGTGTGGGTATGTAGACAAACGAGTCAACACATGAATGCATGAGCAAGCACGCCACCACACCAGTATATGTATGAATACATGTGCACACACATACATACATATATATGTATATATATATATATATATATATATGCACTGCACACACGCACTATGCGTGTATGTATGTATGTACGTGCCTATGTAGTTTTGCATGTGTGTATGTACGTTCCGGTCATATTTTAGGTATTTATGTAGAGTCATACACGAGAGCAGTTTTCGATGGCTCCTCGTGGAAGCCAGGACACGTGGAGAGTGACTTGCGCCCTGTGACCGGCTTCCGGAAGAAAAAGCTTTGGATCTAAGGGTTTCGGGTTGAGGGTTAAGATATAGGGTAAAGGGGTTTAGGGCTTATAGGGTTTAAGGGCTTAGGCTTAAGGGTTTAGGGTGTAAGCTTTAGGGTTGAAGGGTTTAGGGTCGCCTTCTGCAACGGCGGCAAAAGGATTTGGGTGTAAGGCTCTTTGGTACAAGGCGACTTGATGAGAAGAGACTATTGCATGTACATCTCGGGACAGACAAGACAGCAAAGACTTGCATCAAACAGCGAGGCTAACAGCTTCGCATGTTTGTATAGTTTGGAGGCGGATGTGTTGGATTCTTTTGTGGTCTTCTAGAGATATGGGGGTTTCCGAAAATAGGGGACCCTAATATAAAATATAGCACCCCAAATAGTAGGATATGCCTCACCTGGATTGTCCGAGTGTGAGCGCCGAAATAGTAGGATCCTTATAAGGACCCTTAAATGAGGTACCCCTATTTTCGGAACTCCCATACCTGTTCCAAAACAGCTTGACGAAGCATGTTCCCGGCTTGCGTGGGAGGAGGAGACAGTCGGCTCCGAACCGAAAGCAGAGCCGACATCCGAGGAACCGCAGCTCAAGTTCTGTGGGGTTGTGGGGTTTTCTCTGGAAGGCTTTCAGGTTTAGGGCAGTTTAGGGCTGTGGGGGTTCGTAGGCTAATGGAAGGCTGATCCGCTTAAAGAGCTTCTGGGCGGAATGTTGGATATTCATAGGTCTTGCGTGTTCCCGAACTAGTTAGTTTGCAGGCTTTCCTGGTCCTCTGTAGGGCAGACCAAAAAAAAACGGGGAGTGGTTCAATGCATGTGTCCACCAGGAAAGCATACAGCAATACAAAGTCGGTTTCGGGAGCTTGAGTCGGAGAACCCACTTTCTGCTGGGCAGTCGCAGTCAGGATGCCCCTGAAGTTGAGCCAAAGGAAGAGGAAGAAGATGTTGAATTGGAAGAGGCTCCGCTGGAGAAGGCGACGGGCCGCAACGATTCTGTATCTGTAGAATCTCTGAGATGCAGCTCCGACGGATGTTATGGCTTTGGTTTCGGGATTCTGTGTATATAGTTTGAGTTTCGCAAGCATGCGCCACCCACTCTGCCAAATCCTGACGAAGGGGCGTGGTGCTTGAGGTGAAGTTCTACCGTAACCGAAAGGGGCCGCAGCGTAATTATGTATAGGTTCGTACTAACTGGAATCACGTCGACTGGGCAGAGGGCACGCCGGGAAAACAGTACGAGTAACTAGTAGCATATAGCGGAGATAAGTCTATTTGTTGAGCGTTCAGGGCTGAGGCATTAACATGAAGCAAGGTCTGCAAGATGTGTAGAGCTTCAGTTGATACTTCGAAGAGGCATTCTTCCAGATTTCCGAGGTCTACTTCCAGCAAACCCTTCCATCCTCAATCTGTGCGTCAGGAGGAAGCGAAGGAGGAGGCTCCACAAGAGAAGGAAGAGGTTCCACAAGCGCTTCATGAGTATGGTTTAGGTACGGCCCCCACTCAATAATAGTTGAATAATATTCATAATACAGATATATTAGGACCTTAATAGTAGCCCTATGATAGACTCTTGCTGTATGGGGGCCGTACCCAAAGTATGGTTGTAAGAGGCTTTGCAAACTTCATCTCGTCCTGGCGGCCTTCAGAGCGAGACCCTCTGCCCTGATTGTCATCCCACCATGCACTTGCTACGGTTGCTGATCTAGATCCTGCATTAATTACCTTAAGGACCCTAAACTCTGGGAATTATGGCATATTCCTCATTATGGGTAATGCTGGATTTGTATCATCAACCGTAGTTTAGTCTGCTACGAGCCGGGGAGGATGATCAGAGGTATCCCGGGCCCCTTTCCTTTAGAATCTAAGCTGAAAAGACCGGCTGGAAGGCTCAGGTTGTGGAAGCCCCGATGGAAGAAGAATCGAAAGAGGACAAAGCGGAAAAGGATGACGAAGAGGAACCGCTTGCCATGAATGTTATGGTCCGTGGAACCAGTTGGTCAGGAATGGTTTCCATCCTAGGAGCCTTAGCATCGGTTGAAGAACACCTTGCTGCTCGACACGCCTTTTTGAAGCCCCTGTTGCTGTTGTTGCTTCTTTCCAACATATGTGCCGGTGCAGAGCCGACATGTCTCAGCATTTCAGATTCCCGTCTGTAGGTGCCGCTGCGATGCGTGGTGCATGTCAGTGCTGCACCTGCGCAAGAAGATGTCTGGATGCATTCTCACTACGCAGCTTCATTCTTGAACCCTGCATCCAAGCATACTCAAGCTATGCGTTGAGCTTACAGAATCGTTTCATCTGGAAAGCACCACATGGAAGTTTCCGAATATTAGGGATACCTTGTTTCGGGATCCTTATAATAAGGATCCTACTATTTAGGGTACTACAGTAGCGTCCCCCATTTTCGGAAACTCCCGCATGTTGACCAACGTCTCTCGCCAAAAGCTCTTCCGGCCTCTACCGGGCCGGCCAGCGCTGGAGGACGAAATGGCCAACTTCCTGGAAGGGATTGAGCAGATCGACGAGGCAGTTCGAGGGTTAGCAAGTTGGTAGTAGTAGTAGTAGTAGTAGTAGTAGTAGTAGTAGTAGTAGTAGTAGTAGTAGTAGTAGTAGTAGTAGTAGTAGTAGTAGTAGAGCTGACAATACCTCTTTCCCAAAACATGCAGTGTGCACCGGGCTGTGAACACTGCTGGGCTTGAAAGGTGAACTCGTTCAGGACAGATGGCTCGGATGATAGACTGACTGAGCATTCGCTGCAACTGGCTACCAGCAGTAGTGGCATGCATCTATAGTCCGCAGGTTTACTTTGTCTCGGTCGTGTTGGTTGCAGTGGTGGTGGCGGTAGCAGTCGTGACGGTGGTGGCGACAGTAGCAGTCCTCATCGCTGCCACCGTGCGGACAGGTGTAGTCGTAGCAGCGTCAGGAGCTGTGCGAATAGCAGCAAAACTGGGCCGCAACAGAATTGGCAGCAGGGTACTTTCAGCTGAACATGGGGCAGTCTGTGCATGGTGGTGCCGGTCGGGGTGGTCGTCTTCCTGGTGCATGAATCTTCAGCAGCAACAACATGCGACAACTAGGACAGCCACTACTGCCGCCGCCACTACCGATTCCATCGCTACCACATCTGCGGCTTCATCTGCTGTTACGACGGTTTCCACCCCGACTTGAAAACCTGCTGCTCTCAACAGCAGCTACAGCAACGACAGCCCTCTAGCGCAGCACCAGCCCACGCCACTGCCACTGCGACATACCACACACCATGACTACACGCCAGTATGGCACAACCACGACCACCATCACCACCACCCCCACCACCATACCCCTATACGCACACACCCCCAATACCGCCACAAGCCGGCACCAGCACCACACCCGTACTGTACTGCACTGCAAGCAGAGCAACAAAACAAACAGCAGACTCTTTCTAATTAATGCTCCTCGCGTTGTCGCTGCTGCCATTGGTATGGCCTACTTCTGCGACTGCAGCTGCTACTCGTACTATGACAACAGCTTCGGCTACTACACAGCGGAAGATGGTAATAACCGGATCGGACACGGACTGGTTTTTGAATTTTGGTTGCATGGCTCCATGCCCAGATCTCCGGCTATCTGCTCATGTCAATTCTCTGTTGAGCTACGACATGCAGGCAAAGAGCAAGGAGGCGACGAACGAGACGGCCCCTGAACCAGAGAAGGCCATGCAGGAAGACACCAGCATGGAAGTGGATGCGGGTATCGAGGCCGGTGTGGCTCCCTTGTACCGCCATTTTGCCTAAACCCTACACCCTAAACTGTCCCAAGACTGCCTGCATAAACCCTAAACTCTAAACCCCTTGCCACCCCTTTGCAATGTTACATCGATGTTACTAAGTCTCCTTGGGCTCCGGGAAAGGATCGGATGTCGGATTTGGAGGGGGATCGTACGTAACTTATGACTGTTTGCTATGATTTCGTAAGCAGTTTTGCAGGGTGGGGTTTAGGACTTCCAACCTGGGGAAGGAATGCTTGCTATTTGCGACCGGCAGCTGTCATTGGGGAGGAAAGCTCTGATTGCCGGCACAGGGTGCTCTTTTCTGGATTGCATGCCCCCGTTGGTGCGGCTGCTAGGATTATGATGACTGGCATTCGATATCGGAATGTCGCTTTAATCGAAAAACTTCCAAAGACCGGAAAGGAGCCGGCAGACGCAGATGCGGAGCCTGCGAAACCTGTGGTGCAGGAGGATGGGAAGGACCCGTGAGGTTGATGCTGTGGTTTGAGACTTTGAAACTAGGCGTGGGGCTTAGTGGCACTTCGGAATGTCGCACGATGGGGGATGGGGCATGTCGTTCATGGTTGGTACTGCATGAGTTGCATTCACCGATCGAGTGCTCATTGTATGCCCTATAAGCCAGGCCATAGAGAAATGGGCCAAACTCCACAGCAAGACTTTATGACCAAGCAGTCCTTGTGGTGTGTAGGATTTGTTGGGCTTGACAAGCCATGCTGGCAGCTGCGGCCTCATCCTTTCCCCGTTCCGTTGGAGCCTTCGTAGCCTTTTCCTGCTGTTACCGAGCTGTATACTTCCTACGCCATGCAGTCATATCCCTGGCTGCCTGGCTTGTAACTCAACGGGTAAGCCCGCCACCCCCAGCTTGTTCGGCACAGCAACTTGTTCCCTGCAGTGATTTGCAGCACGACCTGGCTAAGCAGTGGACAAAAGAAACCTAAAGCCCTTATCCTTCAAGTGCCAGCCAGTACAGTGTATGTATGTATGTATGTACGTATGTACATATTGTATATATATATATACCTACACTTACATGTTTTCAAGACAAATGTACATACAGCTATGATAACAGCTTGGGGGACGGGGAGCTGCGAGGACGAGCCCAAGGAAGCCAACGCAGTGCCTGATCCCACCGAGGATGAGGCAGCAGTCCTCTCGTCACCAGGTTCTTGAAATCAAGTAAATATCGGTTTAGGATTAATAAGATACTGATAGGGTTTGCAATGAGGGGTGTCTTTAAACCAAGCAATTATCGGTTTAGGGTTGGTTGGTGATACGGGTTTTATTATGAGAGGGGTTTCCTCAAATCAAAGGCTTAGTGCATAGGTCCTTTCAGAAAGGGTCCTATTGGCTTGAGTTCTATGCTTAGTCCCCCAGGTGTTTCACCTACCAGGGAAAATGTGTGAGTGATTGCTGACCTGGCTCGTCGCGCCACGCATGTGCGTTAATCTGCAATGCGCCGTCCTACTAAACATCAACTACAACTTGCAGGACATGACTGCCTTTTTGCAGGGCATCGAGCAGATTGAGGACGTGTTTTCCCTTTGCAGCAGAATTTACGAGCACCGATGGCAACCTGGTTCACGAGGTCAGACCTCGCGGATCGCCCATGTACACAGCTGTGCTTGAGTCGGCCGTGCGATTAACATGGTACCTCACGAACTCACGAACCATCGCTCCATTTTTCTGGGCCGTGCCAGGAGCAGAAACCAGATGATGCAGACAGATCTTCCGACGGAAAGGCTGGTCTCCACCCCACCACAAGCACGCTGAGCCGTATTTGTCATTCCCTGCATGTGGCCACATCCAGGCAAGTCAGGGCAGTTTCACTACTATCATCAGGTAGCACATGAGTTGAAAGTGATCACGGGCCAGCAGCAAGAGTACAGCCTGAGCAGGCAGACGACTCGACTGTGCTGGAGTGCCTCTCCCAGATCCAGACTGGGGCAATGCAGTTGCCTTCCGCTTCCGCTTGCTCGCAAGCTTCGAATAAAGCTCTTGATCGTTGGTTTATCCAAACAACCACGCATTGAATGCAAAGGTCGGGCGAAGGCACGCCCTGCGGAACCGAGGGCGGTGCCACGGAAAGCGCTGAGGTGCTCCTGTGTAGGCGGCAGGCTTCAGGGCAGAGGCTTATGGCCTATGGATGGTGTGACGAGGATTTTGCGGACAACTCGATTCACAGGGTTCAGTAACCGTGTCAAAGAACCTTTCGAGTGTTTAACGTTAAGGTTCCATATTGAAAGATGGATATGGGAGATTCCGAAAATCTGGGGTACCTTATTTGGGGTCCTTATAATCAGTCTCCTACTATTTAGGGTACTATATCGGGCACCCCTATTCTCGGAATCTCCCATATGGTGTCGTCTGCCACTCTGCAAAGTGATTGTCGCAAGCAGCTTGGCCCCTAAGCTGTGCTCAGCATTGCAGCATACAACCTCAGGTCTGGGAGAATAGTACAGTACTCGTACGAGGTATAGCACTGGAATTACTCGAACAATCGAAAGAATCGCAACACTTTCAGCCATTGCGGTAAGCATGATGGAAGGACGACTTTGCGGCCTTCCTGGGTGCCTTGGACGATATGGAGGTCGGAGCTGTGGCGATTTAAGGCTCTAAAGTCTAGAACGAGAGTAAGTAGGTCCAACAGTTTCACCCATGGGGACAGTCTGGGAGAAAGCTCAAAGCTTTTGCAGATTGGAGTGGCACCAATTTGTGAAAGATCGTGCTCTTTATGTAACTCGATCTATTCAGGACCTGCAATATGCGTCAACCTGCACTTTCTTGGGTTTGCCACCGGCCCCATCGGTCGAAACCCCTTAGCCTCCTGATCCTTCATGGAGAAGCACTGAATCGCCCGAAAAACAATCTTCTTAAGTCCCCAAGCTCAGCTTGGGGAGGAGAAGAAGGATGGCAAGGCTGAAGAGGCGGGCCGGAGTTAAGAGCCCAAAGCAGCAACGATATGACAGTTATCCTATGAAGAAGGCGCGAGGGGAGTTTATTTTGGTTAGTTGCTCCTCAGGTTTGGGGATATGCACAATGCATGCTACAGTAGTGTGCGAGCTACAGGTTCCTGGAAATCGGAATTCGTGTGTCTCTTCTCAGAAGACTTTTCAGAAGCATCCAGCAATACTTGTTCAAAGCCCTGGCCCTAAACTGCATTGCAGGCTCGTCCTTGCTAGGTAGGAAGGAAAACATCCCTAAACCTGAAGCCGGTTTTCAGGAGGCAGCAGATGAAGGAGACGGCTTGGACGATTTGCCGGCGCACGCCCTGGGCACCAAAGGGTTGGCCCAAGTTGTTCTGGGCTTCAGGGCTGCAGTTGTGAGGATGCTTAAGCACACTGTATATGATACTATATAAACTATTTATATATATATACACACTATATATATATATATATATACACACTATATATACATATATACATACATACATACATACATACATACGGTTTAGCGTTTTAACATGGCATTGGAGTATGAGCTCTGAGGGTTTTGGAACATCTAGGCTTGGGGCAGGCAGGGATTCCACGAGTTCGGACAGCATTTGGGACTGTTGTGGTGCTGTTCTGAACGGTACAGGATCGGGTATACTTACTTAGCAGTAGCCCGGAAGTGTTTCCGACCCTAGCACCATCGACTCGGATGATGCGAGTCTGTGCGAAGCTCAGGAAGATGTCCGAAACATAAAGGGCTGGATGCTGTTTTTGTCTGGCTGTAGGGAAGAAGAGGTGGTAGCCTGCGTGGTAGAAGCTGTTGTTGCAGGCCGTGGAAATCAAGCGACGCTTGCGTGCTGAAGGCAACTGTATGCCCATGCTCTTGGCTGTAATCTAAGTTTGCCTTTGGCTTAGCATACTGCTTTTGCTTATGTATCGGGTAGAGCTTGGGGGACGTGAGCCGACATTTTGGATTCCGGGTTTCGGCGCTTGGCCTCTGGAGTTAGGGGGCAACTGCCTGCAGATGTTCGCCTGCATCTCATGACGTCCTCAAGCCTGCGAGGCTACACGCGTTTTGCAGTCTGGTTGGTGCCCGTGCAGGTGTCGAAACCAGTCCCCGCAAGACGAACCTGCAAATGCGAGCACGAACCCCCGACGACCTACATCCCAAGTCACTTGTTCTTAAGACCCTTTGCCCCCAGGTGTCGCGATTCCCAAGGGCCCAGAAGACAAGGACCGGACTCGATGGTACTTCCTGGAAGTACAGCGCATAGATCCTCCGAGTTGTGCTCACACCGTCTCTGCATGAGTCTGATGCTCATTAGGTTGCTCAGCTAGTTGTTTTCGGCGTGTCCGTTTGTTGGGGTTTGCTAGGTTATGGACTTGCAGAAGATGTGCTGGCATTGAGGGTTCCCTTCCATCCCTGTAGGATGCTGTGCTTATCACTGCCTCTATGCCGCAATGAGAGTTTCAAGTTGTAGAAGTGGTTTGCCTCTCCCTTGTCATCTGGACAACTTCCCTCATCCAACTCGTCAGAAGGCGTTCATTCCAAATATTGGCCAGCTCATTATAACGAGAAACTCTTTAAAGCAGAAGGCAGATTCCATCCAAACTCCGGGCTCATCCTTTTGGATCTCTTGTGCGGCCCCTGCGGAGCGGCATAGCCTGGCTTGTGAAATTGCATTGACGTACCTTCATAGGTATAGGTGCAGGCCATGGTGCGGGCATAGAGATTTCAAGGGGGCACGGACGTTTGCAAGACCATGTCGACAAATCAACCGAACGTACTAGCAGCCAAGATTACAGACAGCCCAAGCATACAAGTGTGCACATGCACCTTAATTACTATCATTGTCATCTACTTGGTTTCCTGGTTGTTTGTAATGCCCTGTACACACACATAGAGAGAGAGAGAGAGAGAGAGAGACGCCCGCCTATGCATTGTCTTCTTGTTCCATCTTTTTCGACGAGAGCCACGAGTCAATCGTGCCCACACCTGTTGCCAGGAGGAGCTGGTTACACTGCTCCGAGAGGCGTGATCACGTGATCCATGAGCCTGTGGGTGGGTCCTAGCGAGTCTATACCCTTTTACATACGTACATACATGCATACATACATACATAGGCAGGTAGGTGTGCATGTGGATGTGGATGTGGATGTGGATGGATGGATGGATACACACACACACACACGCACGCACGCACGCACGCACCCACCCACCCACCCACCCACCCACCCACCCACACCCCCCCACCCACACACACACACACACACACACACACACACACACACACACACACACACACACACACACACACACACACACACACACACACACACACACACACACACACACACACACACACACACACACACACACACACACACACACACACACACACACACACACACACACACACACACACACACACACACACACACACACACACACACACACCACACACACACACACATATATATATATATATATGTATATATATATATATATACACATACATACATCTACAAATATACTTATACACACACATATTCACACATACACATGCCGACACTGATCACATGGCACACTGCACCTGCTCAAAGCCGCCGGCGCCAGACGTTGAACAAGCCCAAGGGCGATGCGCCAGTGCCTGAGGTCTGCAGCTCTCGGCCACCACAGCTCAGGAATCGGAACCTGTTTGACAAGCGGAGAATTTTGATTTAGTGCGAGCGACACTAAGGGCTATATGCCGTGTTTGAGCCTGCAGGCGTCAATAGAACCTCGTTGACCCATATGTAAGTAGGGCCATTTGCCATGTTGGAGACAGAGACAGAGCGAGAGAGAGAGAGAGAGAGAGAGAGAGACAGAGAGAGAGAGAGAGACAGAGAGAAATCTCTGCGTCGCTTCTAGCGAGGACCTAACAACAGCCGCAACATAAACAGTTGTGGTCATGGCATCGCGGCCATGAGGTTCATGGATTTCCTGAGTGAAATTGACAAGATCCAGCCGGCCGCTCTCTCGGACTCCTTTGTGATTTTGCCGTGCAGCAAGAGCATCTTGGGAGGTTCAGAAAATAGTGCACCCTAGTCTCCACCCTAGAACAAAATGTGGATCCTTATTACACACCAATATCTCGCAAAGCCTCTACAGTCGGTGGGGGGCGGCGGGGCGGGGTCAGAGAACACCCCCCTCACTGACCCTCAAAAACCATAGAATCGTGAATTGTCGGATCCTCATGGTAAGGTATCCGTGTCATGTTGGGTGTTGTGATTCCTGGTATCCATGTCAACTGTGAGTATGGTCGCGCTTGTTTGTGTTGTTCTTTTCGTCTGTCTATTACCAGACTCCCCGAACCCTTGGACTTCGACCGTACATGCCCCTGTGATCTCCGTGTTGGCCATGAAGCAACTCTTGAAGTTTTGAAATGCACATCCAGGCTGCCGACGTCGAGATGAAGGCCCGGTTTGTCGCCTTGTACTTCCAAGTTGCAGATTCTTAGCTCTTGCAAGGCGGCTGATGTACACTTGACAGCATGTGTAGCCGCAAGCACGCTATTTCCCGCTCATGTTCCGCTCTGGCTCTCACCGTGACAGCTATTGCCACTTGGGCATCCTTTTGCTTGCGGCTTTGCGCGGCGCCGCCTTTCCCTTTGGCCTCCGGGGGTCCTCTTGCTCCACCCTCGGACACGGCCTGAGGATGAGATGGCATCATCAGCAATTGCACCGATCTACCTTTGGCCAACACCAACGGGGACCAGTCTGAATACAGTTGTACAACATAGAAGCTGCTGTACTTCCTCCATACGCTCGGAATACCAGCCCCAACTGCACACCCCAAAGCCTAAAGCCCCAAACGCTCTGAATACCAGCCCTAAATTCCACACCCCAAAGCCTAAAGCCCCAAACGCTCTGAATACCAGCCCCTGAGCATTACAGCCTGAGCCCGTGTCAGGAAGCTGCGCCAGAGGAGCTCTTGTTTCGGCGAGATGCTGTTTAGAAGGGTTCAGGGTTTAGGGTTTAGGTTTCAGAGTGGTAGTCCTGTGGGAAGGAAGCTGGCGGGGCCTGACAGCGACTGAGTGCCCGGGAGAGAGAGAGAGAGAGAGAGAGAGAGGGTTTAGGTTTCAGGGTTTGGGATTTATAGGGTTTCGGAGGTTCGGGTGTCTAGGTGTCCAGGCTTCGGCTTTGGGTGTCTAGAGGTTAGAAATTCGGGCTTTGGAGTTTCGGATTGAAATCGAGGTGGGTCTCAGACAGGGGGTTCCTCACGAAAGCATCAATAAAGCAGTAAAACTGGAAACTCTACTCCCTGGTCACCTGAAGTTCAATTTTTATGGTCAGCAATAATACCCTAATTCGTCCGTCCCATCAGAAAACAGAGCCCTCGCCAGGCTTTAGGGTTTTTTACTTTCAAGCCCCTTCAGGCGACACGAAAGAACTCCTCGAAGAATGCGCCGTACAAGCCAGTGTTTTGGACAGGAGTCCGCGTTTGCAGACTTCTTGAAGGAGATAGTGGCTGCCCAAGCTGCTGGGAACGGGATAGCCTTTACATCACCCAAGCTGGAGAGATCCTTACAAACAAAGCCTTGAGCATGCCGACGCGAGATTTGCTTCACTCACAACGATGCCAAGAAGGATCCCTTCCTGCCACTGACTCTGGTCCGTCGTCCTGGGTCCCCAACCTAAAAACCTTAGTAATAGTAACGGTTAACGATGATTTAGGGCCCAGTGGGTCAGGATCTACAGTGAACAAATCGTCCCCCCTGCCGAGGATGGGATGCCTACAGCGGAGGCTCGACTCCTCTTGAGATTCTCCGGGAGTTTCCGAAAATTGGGTGGGGGGGGTTACCTTATGTTTGGGGTCCTTATAATATATAAGGATCCTCCTAACTGCTATAGATTCAAAGATCGGAAGGCTCAGCATGGTCTTCTTGTATGAACAAGATCACCCTCAGCCCTAAACCCACATGTGCGTGTGGGGTGACGAAGACGAGTTGGAGTGGTTTTTCCGCCGAACTCCCCACCAACTCATCTTCGTTACCCCACACGCACACATGTCCGCCGAATGATTACTAAGGGTTTCAGGGCCCAATGAACTTTGTGTGTCCATGACTTGCCATAGACCACTGTTTTGTTTTGTCAGTAGTCTTTCCATGTCAGCAACGTCTGCACGATTTGCAGTCAAAGACCTTCAGAAAAGTGGGTGAGTGTGTGTCGAACATGGGTGCAAGGGAGCCCAAGTTTCAGTTGGCCCTCAGAACCTGTCGTTGTGAAAGTGAAGACAGCTTGTATAGACCCTTTGTCCGTGAAGGGCATAGTCGGCTGGTGATTAGGCTACTATCAAGTTGCCTATGCACAGGTCGCTTCTTGGCTTTGAACACCAAGGCTGATTCTTTCATTTGTTACCCGAACTTCCCTGCAATGCGGGCTTCGTCCATGCTAAGTAGGAGGGAAAAACGCGAACTGAACCCAATCCTGTTGCGTGCGAGTTGCGAGAGCCGCAATCAAGCCAATCCATTTCCAGCCTTGATGCTGCAGGGCCCTTTCATGATCCTCCGTCTCAAACCCCTAAGGCCCTAAACCCTCTCCGTGTTACCAACAGTGGACTTAGCGCCTGAAGCTATGCCTGCCTTGTGCGACTGTGTGAGTCGAAACCCCAAAAATCACATGGGTAGTTTTCAAAATTAAGCTCATTTTGGGTCCTTGATATAATACGGCACCTCATATTTAGGGTACCCAAGAAGGGGCCATAGGATGTATATGCTAGTGCCTGACCTGCCGAGTGCGGGCTCGGAGAGGGTTGGGAAAAAAAGGGGCATAGTTTGACTAGGCTTTTTTGGTCCTTAATATAATAGGTCACCTAATATTTAGGGTCCCCAAAAAGGGGCCATAGTTTTGAGAACCACCCACATCTCATCTGCAACGCCGTCCCTGTAGCCCGGCTCTCTCCCAGGCCACCCCTGCACCTCCGAAGCGCGGGCCTGAGAATTCGAAGCCCTGTCTTAAGGTTTATATGGGGCCGTTTTGGGGGGGCAGTCTAGTAGGGTTTTTGGATTTTTTTGGGTTTGAGGGCAAAATGTTGGGCTTTGGGATTGTAGGGTCTAGGTTTGGGGTTTATTATGGTTTAGGTTTAAGAGCGGTGAGAGGGATTGAGGTGGGAGGTCCTTGGTGGGCCACTGGGATATGTTGTCTTTTCCTGCATTGAGTTTGGGGGCTCGTAATTTCAATTGTTGCTTCAGACGCTTTCCAGGTCAGGGCGTGTATACTTTTTCGAGCATGCCGGCCTATGCCCATCTGTGAGGCAGCCCTCCCTGCCTCCCTCCTTCCCCCCTGTAATTTGTATGGTTCACTTACAGGTGTATCATGGCCTGAAGCCCCAAACCCATCAAAATTGCAGTCGAATGCACTATTATTTAGGAGGTGGCAGGTCTGTTATTCTGGTTTCGCCCGGATTTGCCTGGCACAAAAAGGAGGACGGAACGCCCTCTCACTGTTCGCTACGACGCCGACGGCGTGGAGACCCGGTGCCGAATTTAGGCCACCTAAGTTTTCAGCTTAACGTTCAGTGTGAAGCAAGTAAGTCGCCTCACGTTTTTTCCGGCCCTGGCTCCTCAACTCTGCGCTTATCCTGTACCGGTCCTGAACGTCCAACGACCCAGACTGCGAGCCTGAAGCAAGAAAGCCCTCAAGGCCAAGTGGGCCAAGAACACCCCCAACTACTCCCTGCTAGCACCCGTAGTAGCGGAGGGTCCTTGAAGCACCAAGCCCACAGCTCTCTAAGAGCAGTGAGGTTAACACTAGAAGCCTGGGGCCACCCCACAAAACATCGAAACGGGAATCCTCAAGTTACCATTGACCCCCCCAAGACCCTGAACCCGTAAAGCTTTGAGGCCACCTTTCATGCCCCGCACACCATATCCAGTAGTGGTCGTCGTCCCCGTTTTCATCAGCAAGCGCCTACATTATGATCAGTTCCGGTACCATATAAAGCGCGCCCCCGAAAGACTTTCGAATTTGTTGGCACCTATCAGAGCTCGATTGAACCCATGTAAACACCTTTGTAGTACCCTCATGTAATTATCAGTGTAACTATTGGTCGTCGCTTACCGAGGTCGGAAGTGGGTTGTCTTTGTGGGCCCTGACAAAGAGCTCGAGGACCTCGGAGCGTTGGACATTCTTCTTTCAGGGCTTAGGGAGACGTCTTTAAGAAGAAGCAGAGGTTCCTGATATCGACCCCTAACCAGTAGCAGCCTTGCTGTTACTTTAATTTCATCACCAACACGCACCATGGTTGCTGTTGGGTGTTTGAGTGGGGCTTCGATTTGGGCGGAGACAGTTTTGGGGAAGGAGCTTCAAGCGTGATGTATATAGATCCTTGGGTATGGAACCCTCTTGTCTAAATTTTTATAGTGGCGGGCCAGGTTTCTGAACCATGGGAGTTGAACCCACCAGGAGTTCGCAGCAAGTCTTCGGAATCCTGCATCGTCAGCATGCCACTTCAGTAGTAGCTTGGTGCAAAAGGGGCTCATAGGGTTAAGCCCCTGATCTTGAACCCGGTAGCACATACTGTGTGTGTGTTTCTTGCCTGGAGTGTCTGCACAATCTCAGTTTTAGGAACGTCTTATTTTAGGCAACTGAGGTGGCTGAACACGAAAGTCCTCTCGGTCCTTGGCACAGGAGTTCCCGGCACAAGCGAGCCCTGTCCGAGCGCGCAGACAGGTGACGGCATTCAGAGCTCCAAGTGCTCGAGACGGAGAAGTGTTTTCAGTGGAATCCCGCACGCACGCATCGCATGGAAGTATGGATGAGATTGAAGCAAGTGTTAGCCCCTGCAAAGACTTGTCGATGCAGATGTTTGCATGTTTGTATGCTCCACACACATGTATATATATATATATATATATATATATGCATATATGTTTATATGCATATATGTATATACATGTATTCATTTATGTAAATGTGTGTAAGAATGCTGAGTAAGTCCCACAAAGCTAGCAAGTGTTTCCGCTAAGTGCAAAGAGTATGTGGCGTCATCCATGTTTCAGAACAACTGACAACAGGCCCTGGATTTCTGCCGCACGACTTTGCTCGAGATGGAGAAGCGGGGCGAGGCTTGACGTGTAAACACAAACTTTCTTGGGTTTTGGGATGCTTGTTCGTGTAGTTCATGTATATATAGTGACTGCAGCGAAAGAATCGGAGCCATTGGCGAAAGCGCACTGCCCAATACCTTCACTCGCCGTGATGCTGGCGCCGCCGTCGACCTGCTACAGAATTTGTGTCATTGCTATTTGTTCATTGTCATGTTCTTCGTTTTTCTGCTGCCATCACGATGAAATTTTGTTGCTGTTCACATTTACCATCCCCACTGTAGTTGCTACGACTACCGCTACTGGCATTGCTAGTGCTGATACTACAATTACGACGACCACCGCAACCAGCATCAGCACCAGCACCAGCAGCGGCAGCAGCCCCACCACCGCCGCCGCCACCACAGCCACCACCCCCACCGCCCCCACCACCACCAGCACCGCCGCCGGCACCAGCAGCAGCAGGCAGCACCACCCACCACCACTGCTGCTGTTGCTACTAACAAGCACGGCGGCAACTATTAGTGTTCAGTTCGTAATTACTAGATATAAAGCCAGGAGAACCTTACAGTGATGTGATTGTTGTGTCCACACCTGCAGCACAAAGGTACTTCCCAACAGTCTTTGGAAGGGCCGCTATCGACATCAGTCGGTATCAGGTGCTGGGAAGCAGTTCGTCAGTGTTTCCAGGTAGACAAACTGGAGGACGAGGCCCACAAATCAGAGCTCGTGAAGATCCTGGAGGAGATTAAGGCGCCGGGCTGTGATTCAGTTTGTTTCTTGGCCAAGTACTTCCGAGCACTTGAGATTTCACTTCCAGTACCGTTCACCCACCCTTAGATTCCGCAGCCGTCGTTGATGGGTAACTGCCAGCACTGCTGTGGCCCACGGATGCAACAGTTGACTGCTTTCGGTTTGTGCTTTGCCGTACGTGCACGTTGTTTTGCTAGTGGGCTGCACCCTGAGCAGAACCTATAGCCAACAAAGAGGGTGATGATGATGATGATGATGCACATGATGATCATGATGATGATGGTTCTGATGGAAATGATGTTTGTTGATCGTGATCGTGATAATAGTGATGACAAAGATAGAGTAGCCCAGGTGATATTGCAGGCTGGGATGCCAGTGTGGCGGTTCCATGACCTGACCGAGACAAATGATGGTGACGATGGTGAAGGTCAAGATAATAGTGACTGCGCAGGCAACACTTAACATGGAAGCCACACTGTTTCTTCCGCTGGTGCTCTGCAACCAGGCACGTCCCAGCGGCAAAACTCTGCTTCGAGGCTGGAAAGTGCGCGTTATGTCTTGCCTTCCTCTCTGCCTCTTCTCCCGCCCTTGTTACTCTCTCGCTCTCGCTCTCTCCCTCTCTCTCTCGCTCTCCCTCCCTCTCTCGTTTGTCATTCTGTCCCCACATGCGTTTTTGTGATCCTCTTCCCATGGATCGCTCGTCTTGCCTTGATGAAGTGAAAGTCTAGCCGCGAGTAATCAAGACGCTCAAGCAGAAGTGGTTCTAAGCAGTGCCCGTGTGAAAAAGTATTGAAAGCCACCCTAGTTGAAAGCACTGGCAGGTCTGGATTTCAACTGCCTGCACTTGCTCGTCCAGCCATGATCCCAGACGCGCCTTATATAGAGGGAGTGTTATATTTGTATTTATATATATATATATGCATAAATAGATATATGTATGTACACGCTACATATGTACATATCACTAAGGTGTGCCTTACGCAAAGGAGGCGAAATAGAGACTCCACAGCCCTACATCGAACTCTTAGTGTAGCCTTCGGATCTATCGGCCTGAACAGCAATGAGGACGTTGCTTGGGGGTAGACCATGGGCACTGCCTCACTCTGTAACAGTTGGATAAAATCTAGAATCTCGAATGTAATTATGTACATAGCCCTAAATCGAACCCTATAGTATAGACTCTTACAGGGTGCCATGTTCCAATCACTACCCTTTCATCGGCGGCGCACAGATGCACAGAGCTGAAGTCTTTGGCTACATCCACACCGGAAGAAGCTCTCAAGGGTGCTAGTGTGGGGAAGCCTGTGAAGCTCCCGATCTACTCAGCCCATTCTGAAAAGCGAGCACCCACCCGAAACTGCAAGCATGCACACCACCGGACTTTCTGTTCTAGGTCGTGCACAAATTCATCCAAATCCTTGGCGAACAATTTGTTGGTGACTTCCTGGCTTATCCAACAGTGCAACGCATCTTGTCTCTCCGAACCCTGACAATTCTGAAACCCCGTGTCCCTGAACCTCCTGAGCCATGGCTGCTGCCTTGCGCCTCTCGCGACTTCTGCGGCACCTGGCCACCCAAAGCGTTGCTGCACCAGCCGATCGACAGAGCTTTAGGATACGAATTGTCATTTTGGGGTTTTGGAACGTTTGGGCTTAGAAGGACCTGTGTTGGGATTTGTGGGTTTCGGGAGTCATTAGGGAGCTTGGGTTTGCGAGTTCGGAGCACAGGACGAAGATCCTTCGTAGTTGTCGTTGTTCAAGTCTGACAGCTACTGGCGTTTCGGTTGGCATCTACGGTTTAGGCGAAGCATCATCGGCAATTTGCTCATGAAGTTAGCTGTGCGGAAGGAAAGCCAGGCGACGAAGCCACAACGACAGGTCGACATCGGGGATGCAACTGGCGGGCACACATGTATGTAAGTGATTATGGCTCGTGACGACAATTTCTTGAATGTGACACGTCTTCTGCGCTTTTGTAGGTGGGCAACACAGAGGCAGTCAGAAAGGCTGGAGTGGGCGCGAGCAATGTAGTTTCCGAATGAAAAGGCAGCTCATGAGCGTCGCGGTGTGCAGACAAGGCCGAGACTTTCCGCGGCTGGGTGGTCAACGCCGCATCAGGGCTCATCTAGTATCCAAAATCATGATCCCCAAGGTGCACAGTTTAGGGCTTGCGGTTTGGGGTCCCATGCATTGGGGTCTATTGACCTGCGCTCTCCTAAGTCCAAGTAAGTCTTGTTTGAAACCCGTCGTGCTGATGACTGCCCGGGAACCAAGATGCCTCCGAAGAAGGTGGAGGATGTTCCGTTTGGGATCTCCCTAACCAGTGCGCCCTTCCGAGCAGATACCCGAAATGGTACACACTATGATAATTGCATATTCGGCCAATCTCGTAAATTACATATGTAAGGAGTAAGTCAGTGGCCTTCCATGCAGCATCGTTAGGGATGATAATTTCCTCAGATTTTCAGACCAAGGAGAAGGGGAGCTTGAAGCGCAGGGACATCGACCGCTTCGCAGCCTGCTCCCAGCTACCGCAACAGGCTTCGCTGGGGTTTAGGGATTAGGGTTTAAGCGGTTTCAGGTGTAGGGTTCCAGGGTTCGGGGGGAAATTGGGGTTTGCAGCGCTGTCCATATCAGATTTTGAAGCCTGGCCAGTCCTCAATTTGCAGGATCCGGCAGCTGATGTCGTCGTGAACGTCCATTTCAGCGACCTGAACTACAAGGACACTTCTGTACACATGCGAACCTTTCGTGTTCAGCCTGTGTCTCTTGACTGGTGTAGGCGGAAGACATACACAGTAACCAGAAGGGCCGTCGGAAGCGAAACAAGATTTCGTCGCTTGAAGTCGCCGTCTGTCTACCACCATTTGTTTGTCGTTGCCAGAGTTGATGGAGGGCTTATTCACCTATGCCGATGTCCAGCAGTGATGTTGAAAGCCTGTACAAACTACAGTATACTGTAAGGGCTTGAACTTCAGAGGATGAGGGCTTCTGGGAAATGTCGCCGGAGGAACTTAAGACCGTGCAAAATCCACAAAGGAATTGGGATATGCGAGCCCCAGTCATGGTGGGATGTGGGTGACAACTCTCAGGATGCGATGATTCTGCAGGGTCAGCATGGCGTCGTTCGGAAATTCCCGTGTCTTGGTGTTACATTGTTACATCAAAGGCCTGCACCCCAATGTACAGGTTTACAGAGGCTGCCGCGGCTACAGAACTGATGTCTGACCCCATGCTGGAAGCCTTCCAAAACCCAAAACCCAAAGGGTCCAAGTAGCAACAGAGTAGCTGAGTAGCTACTCAGTACTAGTAGGTATTTGGACCCCAAAGTATATACCATGCTATTACTGGTGCCCTGTGGGGAAAGCTCGGATGGAGCCGGTTGGAGCTTGACAATCTGGAGCGGCCTCAGCGGCTCAAGTTTGGGATCTAATTATTACAGGGTAATCTAGCGGGGTTCTATTCCGCGGACCCCCTAAACCCTCAACCCGAGTTACAGGGTAACCTAGCGGGGTTCTATTCCACGGACCCCCTAAACCCTAAACCCTATTACCCTGGAGGGAAAAAATTACCGTCAGGGTAATCCAGGGGGTTTCTATGCCAAGGATCGTTCCTGGCATCGACTTAGCCGGTGTGGTGGTTGAGAGCCACTCGTCGCTCTGGAAGCCAGGAGACGAGGCTACATGTGCCGTGATTTCTATGAGCTCCGAAACCGGAACTCCGTTTGTGACCGTATTGAGCTCCAGAATAAAGGGGCCTTATTAATTACCTATATATATAATATATACTATTTTGGAGTTCCAAGTCATGTCCCAAATCCCTATGCTAATTGTTAGGGCCCCTATATTACTCGGATGGCCCAGGCCCCCTATTAAATGGCTGCGTGCAGGTCGTGCTGACAGGGAACAAGATTGGCCAGCACTTTGATGGAGGTTATGCAGAGTTCTGCCGGGTGCAGGCGGGACGCAGCGATTTCGACACTTCAAAGCACAACCTAAAATCCTGGATCCCAAGTCTTCTTCTGACTAGCAACAAGGCATGTTACTGCAAACGTATCGCCGTTACTGGGTTCTAGGCGCGTGGCTCGGCTCTTAGATGGCAGCAGGATCTTCGAAAGGTTGTTGCTTAATCAGCCATGGGCTTCAAGCCGCTTCTCCGGAGCCTAGTGAGTGACGAGAATGTGAGAGCCATATAAGAGCAGCAAGAAGAGAAGCGTTAGATAGCGCGGAGCAGGGTAGCGCCCCCGGAAGTCTAGCCTTGCGCGAGGCTGAGTGGTTGGTTGCAAAGCCGAAAGTGTTCACCCTCGAGGAGTCAGCAAAGGCTGAAGGGGGCTGGCAAGGGTTTTGGGGGTGATTGGGTCCGGAGTCTAGGATTTTGGGCATAGATGTTAGGGAGCAGTGCTGGGAAGGCGACGAATCTGCTACAAATCCCTGCAAGGAGTGCATGATGATCGGCACAGCTGGCTTTACAGCTATGCAGATGGTCATGGAGCTGGAGGACCGACCGGCCAAGATCAGTGTGGGCCGTCCACCTGAATGTTTCCCATGGGCTCAGGGCAGAACCATTCAAAAGGGGACAGCTGGTCACAATGAAACCAGGTTGAAAGTTCGAGCATATAGATTCAAACAATTCCTCAACCCCCAAGCCGCCGTGGCACCAAGACTCGGCAAACTGCAGTTCTTGAGCCCGCCACCAGTGGCTTGGAATTCCACCAGTTCTCCTTAACTTCCAAACTTCCCTGAACAACCGGAACCGTCGGAACCCCACTCCCTTGCACGGCATTGTCCGCAGGAAGCCGGCAGGTTGGGACAGATTCCGGGGCCGGTCCTCGTGCCTCGGATGCACGCAGACCGCCACGCCGTGCACAAAACCAGAAACATCAAATGACAAACGCATCTCCCCATGCCGCTGTGCATAAATCTTCATATTTGTGTAGTTTAGTTTATATAACTGTTTGTGCATACATACCGACATGTTGATTTGTGTGTGTGTGTGCATGCGTGTGCGTGTGTGTGTGTGTGTGTGTGTTTGTTTGTTTATGTCTTGTATATCTATCTGTCTATATTTCTTTCTATATGCATATGTATATGTACATATGTGTGTGTGTGCGAGCGCCTTTGTAAACTTCTTGATGTCATTGTTAGAATATTATGTTTGTTTCATTGTTGTTGGCTGTTTCTCGCTCTCTCTCTCTCCCTCTCTCTCCCCCCTCTCTCTCTCTCTCTCTCTCTCTCTCTCTCTCTCTCTCTCTCTCTCTCTCTCTCTCTCTCTCTCTCTCTCTCTCTCTCTCTCTCTCTCTCTCTCTCTCTCTCTCTCTCTCTCTCTCTCTCTCTCTCTCTCTCTCTACTTCCAAATCGTGCGCCCTCCAAGAGCGCATGGCTATGTCGTGAAGGCTCCACAGGCCTTCGTAAGGACCAAGTGTCCGCACAGACCCATAGATCCTTTCAGAGTTACCTTAGTTGCTCCGTTATTGCAGCCAGGTGTTGGGAGCAGCTGGGGGTGCTGGCAGCGCCGCCGTGGCAATCCTTGCACAGCTCGGCCACCATGTGCCCGGCATCGTTTCAGCATGCAGACCAGCTACAAGCACCCGCAATGGGCACGTAAGCCGATTCCTCGAGCAGATACATCAGTCTTGAACTCTTGTCCTCTGGCAAACTCCTGGACAGCGACTGCTTCTCCTGCTCAGCCTGAGCTTGCCGTGTGATGCCGTGTAAAGTGGAATGGTCTCTGCTCTGTTGTTTTTCTTGTCCACTCGTGTGCTACTCTCGCTTGTTTTGTTGCTTGCGTGCTAAAGTTTCGTGGCTGAGAACTCAGCTAATCGAGCATTCGAGCAGGTTCTGGAGTCATAGTAGTTAGTAGTTTAGCTTGCCCTTCGAGCCCCACACCCGGAAACCTTCATGCAGCTGCTAGCGGCTAGCTTGTCAGGTAGAATCGGCAGGAGCTTCGAAAACCATGCAATGAAAGGAAATGGTGGGACGATGTAAGAGAGGCACAGACTTCGATTGGCTTGTCCGTGGAATGAGAGACAAAGTTGCCGCCAGGTGGTGGCGTCTTCTGGCAGAGCCGACCAATTGGCAGACTACCTGAAGGGGCCGTCTGGCGAGACGTTGATGGTTGCGAGCATCGGCTCTACCTTTCCAATGCTTGAGGTTTCAGGCTGCATTTGTACGGCTTGTCTTGGAGGATCGAGATCTGGACCCCGAATCCTAAAGCATCACCGTCCTAGTTCACGATGCCCAGAGCCTTAATCCTGCGTCTCCCCATTATTGGTTCCATGAAGCTACGAAGGAAGACCTTCGACCGTCAGGTTTATCGAAGCACTCACATCCAAAACCTGAAGCCCCAAGCCGTCCGGTAAGGTCGTGTAAACGTCGGCTTTTGCCATCAAAATCAGCATAATCATAATCATAACAAAACATGCATGATTCGCAATAGAAACAATGATGTAAGGACTAATACAAATTAGATTATGTCTAAATGAACCTACTACTAATAGTGAAGCGCCGAAGCCTGCGGAGTCAGCTTCGAAGCTTGCCATGCAGGAGTTAGAAACAGAAACAGTCCCTGAACCACGAATGTATCTCGAAGCTACATAGGAACAAACTTCTTTCGTATATACGCACATAGATGCACACATGTGTATATAGCATACATACATGTATAATAAATATACGTTATGATAAGCTATTCAAAACTCCGTAACTTTATACGCGTCCTCCCCAAAAAGTAAAGCACACGCACGTCCTGCCCAAGTCTCTGCAAGTAGCGGTGTAAGATGGTGTAATAAGCGATTGAGCACTCCCCGAAGAAGCTGCCTGCAAGTACTATGAGCTGTTGAGCACTCCCCAGAAGTCAGCTGGGTTCTTGTCCAGGGGTTTGAATTAAGTCACAATGAAGAAACCATACTATGTACCACTATAGACCCCTCTTATGGGACATGAAAATTAAATCCTTTAACACTAAACCCCAACCTCCAAATTCCTTAGCAGGGTAACAAGAACCCCTATTGAACATTAAAGGAACCCCTAAGTTATAAATTATAGTACCTCAAATTCAAAGAACCCAATCAGGTTGGGTGCCAAGGAGGTGATCGGCCGACTGGAGCCCACTGGGCTCAAAAAGCCGTTGCAGGCGCCAGCTCTCCTGCTTTGGTGGGTTTTTGCAAGTTGAGATGGTTTTGGGAGAGAGAGAGAGAGAGAGAGAGAGAGAGAGAGAGAGAGAGAGAGAGAGAGAGAGAGAGAGAGAGAGAGAGAGAGAGAGAGAGAGAGGGACAGAGAGAGAGAGAGAGAGAGGGCTTATAGGGTTTTTTTCTAAGGGTTTTGGTGGTTTAACGTGATTTTGGGACTTGAGGTCTCCGGACGTCCAGGTTTGGATTTAGGCTTGGGGTTTTTGGGCGGTTTAGGTCTAAGGGGTGGGGGGAGCGGAAGGCATAGAATCACTCCCGAGTATTAATGAAATGTAGGGCGTTGCATGAACAGCGTCTGTTGAGCAGAAGAACGTAGAAGACGGGAGTTGCAGGCGTAACAAAAATTGTTGCCAAAAGATACAGCTTTGGATGCACACGTATATGTAAATGGATCCGCACTGCAAGGGCACTTAGAAGTCTTTCTTGCTTGCTCTGTGGCTGCTCTCGCTCTGTCTCTCTTTCCCTCCCTCCCCCCTCCCTCCCTCGCCTTCCCTCCTTCCAACCCTCCCTTCCCCTCCTTCACGCCGTCTCTCCCTCTCGCTCTCCCTCTCACACTCTCTCTCTCTCTCTCTCTCTCCCTGTGGCCTCTCTGGCACTGCGTACTACACCAAAACATGCCAAATTGATATCCTGGGCCCTTTCAGCCTTTTCAGGAACAGCGCTGGGCGGCTGTGGTAGACTGCGCAGGGGGGCCAGCCCTCGGACTCCCGGCTCTGCTTGCTTCCATGCACTCGTACAGACAGGTATGAAGGCAAATGCAACCCTGAAACTAACAGCTACCATAAAGTCAGTGGACTGTATTTTTCTATATATATATATATATATATATATGTGTGTGTGTGTGTGTTTGTGTATACACGCATACTTATTTATCTAATTACCTATCTATCTGTCTCTAGCTAGCTAGCTAGCTAGCTATGTGTGTAGGTGTATACATGACGGGATTTGGCAGTGGAATTCGTAAGTGGGCTAAAGGTGGAAAGTGGTCAGAGATTGAAGTGACTTTGGGACGTTGTCAGGGTGAAGGGGAAGCCAAGCCAGCTTCTGCTGTGTTGTGTTTGCATGCACTCAAGCATGGCTTCGGGTGCAAAAGCCATCAAACATCGCGAGCCCCTCACCCAGGAACCGCCCTGGCGCAACTCAAATTCCAGGGCGCTGCCGCTTGCATCGGTGTGGCTGGCGGGAGCCTCCGTCGCAAGGTTCGCTTTGTAGGCCGTGTTTGTGGGGCCGCTAGCTTCTAGCATTGCACTGATTTGCTCCCGAGTTTTGGGTGGAGTTAAGCAGCTTAGAGGAAATCGGGAATAGTGCTGTTCGTTGTTTGTGGGGAGACTTAGGGTGGCCAACTCGGGTGCACCCTAGTGCCAACTGCAACCCAGCCTACCAAGACTCCGGCTTTCAACGCCGCTCATGTAAAATCACGAAATTGGAACATTGACAGGCTATGGGCTATGCTACCTTTTCCCCTTGCTCTAGAGTAAGGGATACCAAAGATCCAACCTTCTGGCCCAGAACTTCTGGCTTCTCTAAACCTGTCAAACCTTTAAAGCTGCAAGCCCTAGACCCGAAAACCCTTTCAGCTCATTGCCCTCAGGAGAGTAGGGCGCCTTAATACCTGTAATGAGGACTTGATAAGTCTTATTTACGGAAGTACAGTCTCCTACACGCCCTCCCCCCCCAAATTTACCCCCTGCCCCCTGAGGCTCCTTATGGCTAAACCCTAAACCCCTACCCCCCTAAGGGTCCTTATGGCTAAACCCTACTAAACCCGTAACCCTGATTTAAAGACACGAGGGGTTAAAACAACAAAAAATTAAAAAAAAAAAAAAAAAGCGGATTCAGGAGCGGCCTAGACTCGACGATTTTCCCCTTCGTGCTGCGTGGGGTTCGACTGCTGGGCGTGGACTCGACGCTGCCTTGGAAGGTCTCTGGCCTTGGGGAGGACTCGGATGTGGGAGTTTCCCGAAAATTCGGGGGGTAGCTTCTTTGGCCGGAGTCCTTAGAATATGGATCTTGCTATTTAGGGTAGTTATTGTCTTAGGGCCCCAATATATTTTCAGAAACCCCCATATGAAAGAAAGGGCAAAGAAAGGCAGGTTCGAGTGTCCTGGGTTGCATGATGTATGAGCTAGGGGTGCGGGGTTTACTTGGAGACTCACCGGTTCCTGGCGTGTTGAAGCAAGATGAGCACAGTATGTGAGATTCGATCTTAAGCCTTTGCTCCCTTTCTGGGAGGTATGAGGGGCGATTTCAATTCAAAAACCTTCTTGGGTCTAGCCGAGGGGAAGCAGAACAAGGTCTCACGCATTCCCGAAAGCAACAACGAGCCGAAAAGGAATGAATTCCCTTTGTGTGTGTTGATGAATGAGGCTAGTTGGGGGTTACAGTTTTCCATGTCGAGGAATAAGTTTCGTTTATGGTGCTTGTCCGTTCCATGCCCTCCGGACCCCGATCCCCGGCACTGTGACCCCCTCCGGCACACCGGAGGACCCGGCAGAATGGCAACGCAACAGAGATCGGCGCTTGGAGATTTGGCGCCGCATGGCCACGGACCTGCCTGTTCAAGCTCTGCGCCACATGCATGAAGCCACGATCCCACTGGAAGAGCTGCCTGCTTGGGGCGACAAGCTCTTGAGTGGTCAGGTGAGGGGCCGCGTGGTTGTGCGTGTAGCTGCCTGAAACCTCGACGTAGTCTCGACTTGAGTCGCCACCAGTTTTCCAGCGCAAAGACGTCAGATGCGAAGCGAAAGCGTCCGCAACAGAGCCCTTCTTGTGTCTTTGCTAATTATGGACAATAGCAATCGGCATGCTGAGGTGAGGGCCCTCTTTGTGTGAACAGTATCCAGTATGCGTCTAACAAACTCCCACAACAACGTCCCCTGTGTGCTTCTCTCTATGCTTGTCGAAACCACGTCAAAATTTACTGCGCCTGGAAATGCCCCCCTCTTGTGAAATACCCACCGCTGAGGTATGCCAACGGCAAGAGCTCCTTCCACTGGCCGGTGAAAGTTCGACAAGCCTTGGGGTCAGAGCCCCAGACAGGCCAAGAGTCCAGAGCGAAAGAAGACATGCACGTGCACACAAATACACACACATACTGTCACATACTACATGTCTTTAACCTGCATTTGTGTACGCATGTGTGCATGTATAGTGTACATGTTTATATATATATATATATATATACACATACACACATACACACACACACACACCCGAATTGATGCATGTGAACACGTCTCTGTGTGCGTGTCTATATGTATTATATACATATAATACATATATAGAGACATATGTAGAAAGAGAGAGAGAGTGTGTGTGTGACAGACATACACAAGGTCAGTCACATTTGAGCATGCTCGTACACATATGTGCATGTATTGGTTACAAGGGTAGAAATGTAGTCATATTCAGATTCAAAGTAACACTACCAGTAAAAATAATCTAGAAGTAGCAGCAGCAACAACAAGAAGAATAACAACAACAACAACAACAACAACAACAACAACAACAACAACAACAACAACAACAACAACAACAACAACAACAACAACGACAACAACGACAACGACAACAACAACAACAGCAACAACAACAACAACAGCAACAACAACAACAACAATAACCACAACCACAACCACAACCACAGCCACAGCCACAGCCACAGCCACAGCCACAGCCACAACAACAACGGTATCAGTACTACTGAAACCAAGACAATCAGAACCAGATGTATGCATGCATGTGTGGAGAGTGCTAAAAATGCATGCGTGTATAACGTTTGTGTACTCGGGCAAACCGAAGAAAGCGGCATGGGCAGTAGCTGCAGACCCTAATTCCTTTGAGTTCCAGAGCTTAAATTAATGTCCTGCCTGGCGGAAGTTTTGGTCGAGGGTTCCCGAGGCACCAAGTACAACTAACGACCTCTCAGCCCAGCGTAGAACCGGTTTCTATGTTATAATATATCCTAAGCTGGCCAGGCATGCTCGAAGGTCCTCGTTCCCTTTTGATGCAGCCTTGTTTCCCTCAATTTACTACGGCCGAAAACGCTTCTAAACTCCAAGACGCGGCAACTTGCCCGGCCTATCGTGGTGTTGTGCCGACTCAGGGACCTGCTGTGCTTGCTGTGGCCTGTGATGCAGAAGCCGAAACAGCCTATGAGGCTTTCATGATCTTTCATACTATTTTCGGGGTTTCTGATTATTCCCACCCCTACTATTTTCAGAATTTGAAATTATTCCGATCCACATTTTGCTCTCAGTGCATGCTGTTTCCTTGATTCAGGAATCGTCATGTCCGGCTCCCAGCTTCTCGTGACCTACAGTACCTTTGGTTAGTAGGGAATGGAGGAATTGCGTACAATTATAACTACTATTGCTACCAATCTTCCATTCCCTACTAACCAAATTTAAAGGTAAGGTGAAGGTTGACCAGAGCGAAGGATGGGGCTTCAGGGTTCGGATCCAGTCAGTGTAGCATCTTAGAAACCCATGTAAGCCTCATTGTAAGCGCTTGCAAACCAGATTATGCGAAACTTTTATTCGCATCAACCATGTATACGTATATACGAATGCACCCCATTATCAACATCAACAACCACTCCCCTCGCTGCCAGCTTCGGAGAAGCATTGCGGGATTGCAGTCGATGGGTTTCTTTATGTCAACTTTATGTCAGGAGTAGTACTGAGGCAGGACAACCCGTAGGGCCAAAATCATGCAGGTTATTGAGGCCAGTACACTATCGGCATTAACGGCCTGCACCCGCGTGTTTGCCCATCGTCCAGCGAAGACCTGTTGCAGCCTGTGAACAGCATCCGAGCTGCGGCGTTGTTTTCCTTCAGTGTTTCAGGGCTCTGGTTCCTCTCCGATGAAAAAAATCTGGACAATGCGTATGGAAACTTTTTGGCGTTGTTGACAAGGCGAAGTTGTACATCGAGGAAACAGAGTCGAAGCCATGCCGGCAACATGACCACCTTTCGGTTCTTTTGGGTACGCTTCCGGAATATCTCACCACGTCGATAATGTGCCATCATTACAGCTGCTGCTTCTTCTCCATGCCGCATCAGATACGTGCACAACACTGGCGTGAAAGCAGGCGCCCCCAATGCCTTTAAACTAGCATCAGCTTGATCGCCATCAAGTCCTCATCACGTTCGTAATGCCCCTGTGTGTGCCATTTGAGGCTCAAAGCTACACCGCCGAGGTCGAGCAGAGTCTTGCCTGTATTGTAGTGTTGTTTTTGTTCCTCTGGCGCAGGCTTCATTGATGTATAGGGTTCAGGAGGTTTCAGGGGTTCAGAGGTTTATATCAGGTTTAGGGTTTAGGGGAATTTATTCAAAGGGGTCAGGGTTTATGTAGGTTTTAAGATTTTTATGCCACGACGCCTGCAGGCTCATAGACAGTTGTTTTGCATGTTTTGCAAGATGGCCATAGAATTGAGGTGAGCGGACGTGATCAGGTACGTATGTAGTTCGAGAAGTACGTTAGTTCATGTTGCTTCAGACAGGCACCGAAAAGAACATTCCGATTTTGCTTTAGGGGAGCTTGATCGAGATCGGCGAGCCCACAAACCATTTGCTCCAATCACAGAAACATTCGATTAGTGATGATCAGTATGTAGATGTCGGTTTCGGGTTTACACCCCTCCGTCGAAAGCCGCAGACATTTGGAAGTCCCGGGTCTTAATTAAGTGGCTGTCTTGCAATGTCGACTTGCACTTGGGCCTAGGCCCCAAGTAACAACGCGAGGAAGAAACATAATCACGAGGTTTACGACTTTACCCAGGAATCGTCCTGCAGACGGGCTAAATCGTAGGGTCCTTGCTACCAGCGGCCGGAACAAAGCTTCTTCACGCTCGCGTTCAATCTCATGCCGAGGCTTGAAGACCCGAAAGATCCCGAAAGTATATAAGCACACTGTTCCGAATCCTAACACATGCGTCCTATAGTATATAGACCCCAAATTTCCAACGCCTGCACGATCGCAGCCAAGGAAGTTTGAGCTTCATCGTCCGATCCATCCTTTCCAACTTGCTTGGCGCGTTTGTTGCGGCCTTGTCGTGGGAGTTGCGAGGGAACCCAAAATGCAAGAGATAAGAAGCACATTGTGCATTCGTGGGTGTGTACGTGTATATGTATACTGTATATATATATATACATATATATACATATATATATATATATATATGTATGTATGTATATATATATATACATGTATATGTATATTCACATATGGATGTATTGTGTTGTGTGCACATACACTTGGAGAGACAGATGTTATTAGGAACTAGTTGTTTGTGCATGTGATCGTGCACAGCCGCTGGCCCATAGCCAGTTCTGAACATGTGATAAAGTTCACACACCATCGTAGAACACAAGCTTGTCAGCGGCTACCTGAAATAGCATTGGGAGTAGAACAGCTGGCGCTAGTAGATTCTGTAACGGATGTCATCGTCGTCGTCGTAGTAGTTGTACCGTGGTCAGCGTAGTATCACATGCCGACCATGTCAACAACGACTATGCTGATACTTGTTTCGGAACACTAAGATCGAGAGCACGAGAGGATAACATAGCCAACGGGCAAGGGTTATGTGGAAACCTGTGCTTGCCAAGGTCTCGACCGAAGTGCTGGCATGAGCACTTTCGGCACAGGCGTCGGCTCATGGGCCCATGCGTTCTTCCTGTGTACTAGCGACTGAAAGATGCTTTAGGGAAGTGAGGCGGGCATGAGGGCATGCGCACTGCAGCCCAGCCATGCCCAGCCCCTCCACAATAGAAGGGGTGCAGGATTGCGAGACCTTGACGCACTTCGAAGTACACTCTGTCTTGCGTGTTGGAGACTCCCACGGCTTGGTGTTATCGTAGTCGTCAGGTCAAGTCATGCAAGAACAGACGATCACCCTGGTTTGAAAGCAGGGCCACACTGGGTTGGCAAGAAGCGGCCTCGTTCAAAAATTCGGAGAAGCGCTGTAGACTGTAGGATTCCCTTTGCTTGCAAGCGCCAAGCCTTGAATAACCCCAACAAGCCAAACATGTGCAAACCTGAGCTGCTGCACGACTCCGCCACTTGGGCTCCTCAGCAGCTTTCCTGTCCATAGCTTGTTCCATCAGCGCGCCTTCCTTGCGGTCCGGGATGGGCTCATTTCTGTCCACGCCGGGCGGAGAAGGCAGGTGGCCATACCAAGCCTAAGTCTTGATCCCGACAACATGAAGCTGTATATTTCAGAATACACACTCTTTGTGCTAAATCTTCATCCAGGATACCTGAATTACGTTTATCTTACTGGCAGAATGACAGTTTCATGCCGGCTGACGACCACGCAGAAATCCGTGCAGGGAGCATCCGGCCGAAGGTTTGAAGAAACGAAAGCAACCATGGACTTCTAAACATCCACACACACACACACACACATATATATATATATTTATTTATTTATATACACGTATATACAGATCCTGCATATACACGTATAAAAATTTATATACATACACACATATATATATATATACACACACGTTCTTATGCTGTGATTGCGGCTTAAAGATGCAGATAATATCGCAGTAGCGACCCTACAGGTTGATTAACACAAACGTGGTCGGCTTGTCACCGTCTATATGTAGCCAGACACGCATTGCTAGGGTCGCAAGGCTCCAATATAGAGCTTCACAGTTCTGCCGTGCCTGCCTTGGCTGTTTAGACAAAGAAGCTCCGATGGAAGACATGCAGGCCTGCTTCACAATTGTCGCCCAACTCTCAACGCCCTTTGAGATGACGCCGTGGGCGTGCAGCATGCGGAGCCGCTGGACACGGCAGCTAGCCTCGCAGCGGCCGACGCCCGTTTCGCAGCTGTGACCGCCCCAGCTCGCAAACTTGAGGCATGTGTGTTGCAACAGCATGGCTGAATTGCCGAAACGTTGTGTTGATTGGGGCCCACTTCACCAACAAGTGAAAAGCGAGTAGATGGAAGCGTCTCACAGGGTTTCCCTTCTTTAGCAAGTCCTGGTGACAAAGGCTCTGCCCGATAATTAACTTATAAAGCTCAAAGATAGGGTGTACATCCGTCGTTTCCAATCAGAACAGTTTCTCGTTTGAGGCCTTGCAGCGGCCGCTTCCGCCACAACGGGCCGCGTAATCGCAACAGGATAGTATACAGGGTTTGCAGGAATGCATCATTTTCAGAATCGTACGCAAAAAGTTGCATCTGTTATGGTCGGCATCAGGGCTTTTTGCGCGAAATCGATTGTGGCAGGGGACATAGCAGTAGTAGTGGCAGTACTTACAGTAGCAGCAGTAGCAGTAGGCAGGTTGGTGTTTGGTATGGGTATACAGCTGGTCTCCCTGATGGTGATTGTTGTGTTGTTGTCTGGTGGTGCTGCGGCTGCTGCGACGAAGATGGTTGCCCCCCAAAACGTGATCCAATCATCCCGCAACGGATGTTTGAAGACCTTCACAAACCCTTCTATGACGCCCTAAGTATCCAAACCTTGCCAGTCGCACATCCCCCCCTCCCCCTCTCAAACTGTAAGGCACCCACCCAAGTAAACGTTACTGTAGACCCTGAACCCATATACAACCCTAACCGTAAACCCAAAACACTCCCACAAGCCCTACGAGGCCTTCCAGCGACGGCGAACCACCAGCGCCTTGCCTGTCCGTACGCTGCCCACGGCCTGGTCGCCGAGATCGCCCTTAGAGACGAACTTCAAGGCGGGGGGGGTCTTAGCAGTTAATCACAAGGTTCGGCATGTACAGGCTGTATAGGGCTAGGATTTGAGGTTCGGAGCGGTGCAAGATTTTGCGTTTGGTTTTCGTATTTCAAAATCAAACGATCTGAGGTTTGAAGTATCGCTTCCGGTCTCCGGGAGGGAGGGAGGGTTTCAGCGTCTGGCTGAGTTCCGAGTTGCGAGAACATAAGCCCCTAACTCCGTCAACCTCCGAACCCTAAACAAAAACCCTAGTCCCGCAAGCATGAAAGACCTTTAAAGCCGTCTTACCTGGCTGTGCCGAGTCGTGAGAGCTGAAATGGCTATAGAGTCTACACACTGTGTCGAACTACTAAATCCAAGCTTCCGAATACCCTGACAGGACGACGACGTGCTTGAGACTGCTCAGCCTTTGCAAGATGCCCAAGAACCGGACCCGGAGTCTTCTCAGAAAATCTGCTTTTGGGGCTCAAGCTACATATAGGCATGGAGCGCTTTCGGGCTTGAAGGATGTATGGCTTTGTGCTTTAAGGTTTAGGTTTTGGGATTGAGCCCAGGAAAAGCGCACGCTGCATTATAGATGCCGGATGTCTGATTGTTGACAGCAGGATGGAACATTATGTTACATCCGAGAATTTGGCAGGGTCCGCAACTCGCAGATGTCTGTTTGTTCTTCTATACATTCCTACATCGGCACACACAGAACTACATGCTGACTCATGCATGCATGCTTTGCATGCAGACACATACACCAAACCACATGAGCATGTGCATACATCAATACATAAAGCATGCATGCGTTACGTGCACTTGCATTACATGACTTAACTTTACGTTGCCTTACTTGCCTTTACCTTACCTCACCCTAGCACACGTCAGCACAGAGCGTTTCATCATGTTGCATTACGTAACATCATGTTGCATCATGACCATAAGAATATACTATAGTATTTTTCTGGTATCTATAGATAGAGTTGTATATCAACTGGTTGCATCGCATTGCGTACACTTGCAAAATAACACCCCCCATGACCTTACACCATATACGTTTGATTTGCTTTACTTGGCTTCAGTTCGCTTGCATCTTTGCGCGTTTCGTTACTATTCCCGGCATTGGCTCTGGCGGCCATGCGAAGCCCAAAGCTCTGGGAGTCGAAACCTCGGGAAGACCCGAGGACATCTCCGAAGATGGGCCCGTCTCAATCGAGTCCCGTGTGGAATACTCCGCGCTCCCGAAGGCCCTTTCTAGCTGAGTCTGGTAGGTTTAGGTATGTTTAGGGTTGATACAGGGTCAGGAGAAGTTAAAGCGTGGGGCACTCGAAGCCTATGTACATGCTAGGACTTAAGAGGTGTCTGCAGACAAACATGCTGCGAGAGAGACTGCATAGAGACGCCGCCTCTGAGCATAAGACGATCGATCCTGAACGGTATGATGAGCGAAAGCGCCGCGATTCCGGGTCAAGGGCTCCTTGCACTCAGGGCATCTAAGGGTTTCGGAATTCCCTTGTTTGGTGCTGAAGCCTTGTCAGCTGACAGCATTCATCAAAAGCTTTCAATCACGGCTGCTCGCTTCGGTTTTCCGGTATGCCTCAAGACTCTCAGTGACTGAGTGTCGGTTTTCGATGGATCCGAATCTTTGGAATCCCACAGCTGAGGCGTAGCAATAGTAATTACAGTAGTCCCCATAAAGTTGGAAACCGGATTAAGGCCAAATAGTGCCGGGATTCCCTATACATTACTCTTCAGGATTGAGGCTATTGGGTTTCCAACTTTTTGTCTTCTACTGTAATCATTTCAATCCCGCGAAGCGTGAAGACCGGAGAAGAGTCGCTTAAACCCATGGTTCTCAGATTAAAACACACATAAACCTAAACCATCAACCCCCGGACCATTGCATATCGTTGTAGCTCGTTGCCTTGTCGATGCCAGGGCGCATCGCAAGCCATCTTCGGTCTCGCCACTATGCTGCGAAGAGATATCAATGTGAGGTACTGTCATGTGTGATCTTATTAGGTATGCATGCTTGCAAATACTGGTGGCCATGCAGTTTTGGTGTCACTTTGGGAAGACACGTAGTCAAAGCTGTTGTTCATGTGGCCCAAGGGAAGCAGGGTTTGGGTTGCAGGTCTTTTGGATTTACTTAGGTGGCTTGAGGCGTCCATCCATAGGGGTTGCGGTGTTGGCACTTGTAGGTTTCTCAAAGTGATAGCAGCAGCCTCACTATAAGTGTTAGGATCTGCGATGTTCCTGGAAGGTGTGAGACTCTAGAGGCTTCAGCTGTACAGTGATAGGCTTCCGTCGAAAATTCTGGTTCCTTTGAAGTTACCTATGCGTTGCTTCGTAAGCTTGTATTTTTGATCGTCCCCTCGCATGTCCTGGGGAAGATGAACGCGGATTGCAGTCAGGAAAGATCAACATCAAGCCTAGCTGTTCGAACTCCTAACACCCTCCAGCTAGACAAATCTCAAAAAAACAGACAACTCAGCGAGTCATCCCTACTGTAGCCCCTTCAGATTTCTTTCAGCACAGAACAAGGTTTTTTTGACATACTAGCCGTTTCAAGTTTTAGCAACACAGAAACTGCTCTCGTAGCACCCTTTGGAATGGCAGTCCTTGGAAGCTTCCTCGCCCTAGCGGTCACCGAGGTGACGCTGAGAGCTGCCGCGCAGGTCGCCTCAAGCATCTCGGCTCTTCCAAAGTATCTGGTATAATAGTAATAGTAATAATAGAGTAGTCGTAGTAGTGCGACAGTAATAATTACGACAGTAACGGTATAAGTAACAATACTAGTAACTTAGTATATTGAGGCTACTGCTGTCACTTTGAGAACCCCGGAAGTGCTACCACTGTAAGCCCTCTCTTTTGTAGTTAATCAAGTACTTTCTGTGACTAGAACCATGCAGCATGGCATGGATCTTCGCAGATGATCGTGGGCCAAGAAGTAAACT